TCCGCGCCGCGCCGGCCGCTGAGTCCGAGTCCTGGTCCCGCCGAGCTGGGGCTGGCCCGCCGCGCTGCGTTTGGCTCAGCGGCTGCCGCCTTCTCCCGGCCTCTCTGGCTGCACGGCCTCTCCCTGCGCTCCTTGGAGCTCCTTGGGCACCTCCGGCCTGGAGTCCCACGCCGGACGCGGAGGGTCGCTGTAAGGGGGGGGGGAGGAGGGCGGGACGAGGACCCGACAGACCGCCTTGGAGAAACTCACGGAGCAACTTCCAAGCGCAAATGGGGAAAAAAAGAGCCAAAAATAAAAACAAGAAGGCTCCCTTCTCGTCACTCTGCTTGCGCCTTCCAGGAGACTGCCCGGAGCTGCGGGAGAAGGCGGCCAAATAACCAGGGGCGGGGGTTGGGGGGCAGCGCGGCGGCCGCCTTCCCGGGCCCCCGCGTCACCTTTTCTGTCTCTCGCGCGCCCACCGCTTAAGGAAGCATTGGGAAAACTTCTGAACTTTTGAGCATCCGTCACCCAGGCGAGGACTTTTTTACGCAGTTACATTTTTTCCGGGCAGTGGAGCCCCGCCCCGCCACGGCGGCGGTAGCCAATGGGAGGCGAGAGCCGCCTCTGAATGAGCCGAAGGCCGAGCCCCGCTGGCCCGCGCCAGGCAGCCTGAGGACCGCGGGGCTGACCACACGCGCGCCGGCCGCCCGGGCCCGCGCCCGCGCCCGCGCCTAGCCTTCTCCAGCGGGGGTTGGACTCCGCGCTCCACGAGCTCTACGTAGGCACTCGGCTTGTCTTCTCACTCCCTGCCCGCTGAGGGACTCCCATTGTTCCCACCGACTTCCTGGGTCCTCCGGGGCCCCAGGCAGACCTTTCCTGTCCACTGTTCACAGATGTCCACCGAGGCCTCGAGCCCCATCTCTCTCTGGCCTTTCCCCATTCCTTCTCTGACCTGACGCTGGCACTGGGGTTTCGCCAGCCCCTCCTCTTCCTCCTACCCTTCCCCCTGCAATGGCCAATCTCACTTGGGTTACTTGGTCTCCGGTTCCCCCCACCCGGAGCTTCTCCCAACCCGAACGGGATTCCGAGGGCTGGATTTTGAATGCAGTCACAGCCCGACTATATCCAGTAAGGAAGATGGTGTCCTGGCTGCACCTGGCCTCACTGGCTGACCCTCTGGAAATAAAGGGGGAGGAAGTAGAGATCTCTGCCTGAGCTTGGGCCGTGGTTTGGCCCAATAGACAGCACACTCCACTGCCGGCTACTCGGCACCACACTTCGCAGTTAACAGCCCATGGGTGCGGGCATCATGCACTGCTACAGCCGGCGGCCCGCCCGCGGGTGAGTAGCCATATGCTGCCCACTTTGTCCCGCGGGACAGATTTCGTCTCAGAGGAGCTGTCAGGCTGCAGGTTCAGTGACATTAGCAGGTGTGATGACGAGAATGAAATAGATCCAAGAGCTTAACGCGTCCTCCAGCCATTCCATCTGCACACGCGCGAGGCCGCTTTCTCGCAGATAATAATTGTGGTTGGGGGAATTTTCAGACTCGCCTTGCGGGGAAGTTCGAAAATTCTAGAGGGATAAGCACAGAATTACCCCCCACTCTTTGTGCACGCACTGGAGACTTGCAGTCTCTGGGAGAGAACTGGGTAGCAAGAAGAGAAATGTGGGGGAAAGAAACGAAGAAAATGAGGGGCCTCCCTCCCCTCTCTGTAGCGCGACTTTGCATTTCAACTTTTTCTAGAAGAAATCCTCTTAGAGATTGAACCCTAGAAGCTGGAGGGGTGAGAGGATTTTGAAGTGTGCTGCCAGTCGAATTTTACACCTCGGTTCCTCTGATTTCTGACAATCTTTAACACAAGGGAGCCCCTTTTGGCTTCCGGGCTCAAATCCTGGCCTCCTCGGTTCAGCATGAAAAGTCGAAAAGTCGACTGCAGCTTTGGTTGTTAGATGTTGTGAATGTTGACTTATATAGCAGGCACAGTTCTGTGTCTCTTGAACACAATATATATATACATATAATATTATATATATTTGAAATAGGCATTTATAGCAAGGGAAGGAGACTTTCTGTTTCTAGAATATGCTTTTATTTTTTCCAAGGGGGTATGTTCAGGAAGTTCCAGATCAGTGGTTGCTTGCTAGTTTGCTGTGCTACCCCTTTCCCAGGTTGTTTGTAAAGCCAAATCACTCCCAAGTTTGTCATTGGGAACATCAGTGGTTGATGATTCCTACCAATACTTGGATGTGGAGGGAGTATGGTGAAAGCCCTTGGATTTGAAAAGTGAATTTGTTCAACTCCTATCCCTGCATCCTAACGGTCTCAAGAGCTCCCTAGCAGAGGCTTTAGGCTTAAAAGCAGCGGGCCTGAAGGGGAATTAGAAAGTGATCTTCCGTAACTTTACCGTGGCATTTGTTTGATGAGTTCAGTCCTTAAAGTGCCTTTGCACTACTAGAAGTGTGGGAGATGAACACAGTTTTGTTTTTCCAATGTGGGAAACCTCAGCAGGCGTCCTTTGCAATAGTGGCTTCTGATGTGCCACCCCTCCCCCAGTTCACAGCCTTCCCCCCCCCCCGCCCCAGTGAAATGCGAAAATTTTGTTATGTAGATTGAAAAATAAAAAAGCATAGGGGCTCTCACCTCTTGGCTTTGGGTATAAAAATTGCTGCATGAAACTAGAGGTGTTTGTAGAGGGAGATTCGAAGGGGTACAGTTTTATAAAACTCAGCTTTCCAATGGTTTTAACTCTGGATATTTGCCAGTAAAATAAATTTGCATTTATGTTTTATAAGCTTAGTCGGAAGCAAGCCTCCAATAAACATTTTGGCTGTATTTCAGGAACATATTGTTGTTGTTGGTGGTGTTTAAACATTAGAGAAACAGGTTAAAGTTTTTACTTTTCATAGAAGTTGTTGGTACATCTTTTCCACTGCTCCACCATTAGGTTGATCATCTGTCTTGCTTACAACTCTTGCCTCAATTGGCAGAAATGTCTCCGCAGGACCCTTCCCTTCAATGTCTTTTCTGACATTGCCTCCTGAAGGCCCCACAGGTGACCCTAGGAATGAGTGCACAGTGGAACCTTCCCACCACTCTTATCACCCCCTCAGTGAGCCACCAGGTGGGGTTATAATTCCTGAGACCCAGCAAGATTTCTTAGCTCTAAGGAGGGGATGCTGTGTCACAACCATGTTTCAAACAGGACTTCTCCGGGATCTTCCTATACAAAAACCCAGGAAGGGGGATGTGGCAAGCACTCTAGGAAATGCCAGGAATGGGGGTTTGGTGGTGCCACAGGAATGGAAGGGGGGGGAGACAGTGTTCTAATATGGATTATAGGAAACTGAAGGAGGGCTTTCTCCATTTTACAGTGAAGTAGAGGAATTGGGCTGGGGCAGGGGGTATCCAGGGGGTTGGCCCCTCTGCCTGTACAGATTTGTATTCCTATAAGAGACCTCCCCAGCCCCACTAGCTTGAAGTCTGATACCCACCCTCATCTTTTCTTTGCCCATTTTTGTTGTTGTTGTTTTTGTTTTCTTGTTTGTCTGCTTTGGCTTCCTCACACCCCTTGGCTCTGGGCTCAGACCAAAAGGAGGAAATTGGGATGTCCTGCAGCCAGGTCCAGGAACCTATCTAGCCTGCTGGACATACAGGCAGGCTGATTAGAGAAGCCTCTTGGAAAACCACAGGAAAGAAGCCCCCTCCCTAGGGACTTTTCACGATTGACAGCGCACAGGGATTCCTAGCAGCTCCTCAACTCTGGGGAGAAGCGTTGAACTCCTGAAGCATCTTCCCCCTTCTCTAAGGGAAGACCAAGTGGAAAATGAAGTAATTGTTCAAAAACGGGACTAGAAAACTTATCTCTGTGCTGCCTCCACAGACAATCGGACCAAAGCCTGTTTAGGGGTTGTCTTCCAACTATTTAGATAATTGTCTTAGTTCTCCATTTGGCCACATTTGTGCAGACCTGAAGCCTATGGGTGGGGGAGGAGATCCTGGTGTCCCTTAGCGTTATTCGTTATCAAACCATCAGGCAGTCAGGCCGCGATTGTCAGGACGCTGCGACTTTTCAGCAAAGGGAGGAGCTGGGGGCCAAACATCTGGGTGGCTGGGGCTCTGGACTGACCGATTTCTTCCCCTTCTTGGTTGTGGGATTTTCGAATATAAGGCGGTCTCTCTAATTCAACCCCTTCTCAGAAAGGTAATTCCTACAATAAACGAAAAGAGACTTTGTTTTCCGATTATTTCAAACAAGGTGATCCCGTTTACACCATTGAATTTAATCGCATAATTGCCTTCTTAGAGGCGGCCATTCGCGGGAATTTTTATGATAGTATAATGTCATCCTTCAGATCCTCGAGACAGTACATCTCCCTAAAAAGAGAGCCAACACTCGTTAACCGACCCCCCATCCCGTGGGTCCACTAGTCGCCCTTCGGCAAGAAAGCCCCAGTCTCCCAGAGCGTTTCAGGGCTCAGCTGTAAGGACTCACCAAAGAACACTGGAAGAGAATGTTTTAATTTTGGTACCTGACGCGCGGGCTTTATGGAACCCAACTGTCACCTTTCTTTCTTTCTTTCTCTCTCTCTCTCTCTCTCTTTCTCTCTCTCTCTCTCTCTCTCTCACACACACACACACACACACACCTGGAATAACAATAAAACGCATAAGATGGTGAGTGGCAGGGAAGGAAGGCTTGGGCACGTAAGTGCTTACCTCGGTTTCTCCTCATTCAGGTCCCTAGCAGGGACACTTTAGCTAGCGTGTCCTGCACTTCGGGGAATAGAAGGATAGAAACCCCCGCTTATTTGAGAAGCGCTCATTAAGCACCAGCGGGTCCTCAAGCGCCCAGCGGGGGTGCATGCGGGTGCCCGCCAAAGGACGATGGTGGAGAGGAGGCGCATTTCCAGGAGCAAACGGAAAACCTGTGCTCCTGTCGGGAGGTGCCTCCACCATGGGTGCTGGAGGAAAGGCTCTGATCTCCGGACAGATTCACAGAGGATTCAAGTACTACAGGCTGGCTGAGGACCTTGCAGAAGAAGGGCTAGTCCCGAATCACCCGCTCCTTGCCCTAGGATGCTGAGACACCAGGCCCAGGACGACCTTCCCAAGGGCCTATGAACCCTGGGCCCCCCTGCATGCCGGGCTGGCTCCAGCTGTGGGACTGTCCTTGCCGTGCACCTAGCCCTGGGCGTTCTGCCGCCTGTTCGCCTGTTCGCGCGGTGGGGCCTGCTGTTCGCAAAGCGCCATCAGCCGCCCACCCTGCACTTTGTGCAGAACAGCTGCTGGGCCCTGGGCTGGAGGCTGGGTGTACGTCTCAGGGCAGAGACAAAGCCAATAGTTGATTCTTTGTTAACAGGTTTCCCCAGGGATGTGCTGAGTGGGATCTCCTTCGGGTGGATCTGTGCTGGAAGCCATGGCAACATGGCTTTCCTTCCACTTTCTAGGTTTTCCACCTCTTTCCCTGCGAGCGCAGTCAGGACACCAGAGACGCTGTGGGGAAGTCCTAAGCCGCTAGGCAGACTCAGGTTGAGGCTCCCCGTGCTGCTGTGGGGTGCAAATAGTCTCACATGCCTCTGAAGTCCGGGACCCAGTCGCTTAAAGGGCTGCCACCAGCACTACGCGTGCTCCGAGCGCCCTCTGCTGTCCACAGAGCCTCTGTAATTATCAGGGCTCCCACTGGCGAGCTCCAACCTACTCCTTCCCAAGAGGGGGAGGGTGGGCTGTCGTCTTGGTGAGGGCCAACGTGGCCCTATAGTGGAGCTCTTCAGGGACTTTTCAGGCACTCCATGAGACTAGTCCATTCTGGGTGAGCATCTCAGAATCAGGCATAGATCAAGGTCATTCTGTCACTGGAGCTGGAGATGACTGGGGATTAGGGCTCGAGGCCACTAGCTGCACATTCCTTCCAGGCTGCTCGTTTTAATTGATGTACA